GTCAGTCGAACAAAGACTTAGAAAATTTCTTAAGTGTTGAAATGTTGATTTTGCTGATTTTTGTGATCTCAATTCAAGCATGTTAGGAGCTAAATCAGTCAATGACCCAAAAATAAAAGTTGTTCCTTATGTCAAATACTAAAACTTTGCTTTAGTGATCTCCTCCATGCAAGGTCTCTAACACCTAGTTCAAACTTGGTCAAACATGTCACATTTAAATGATGATACACATCAAAGCATGGCTTAATGACCTATTTACCCCTAACCATGAATATCAAAGTTGTTCATAATGATACTCTAAACATGTTTAAGCAATTTGCAAGGTCATTCAATCATTTCATATAGTAGTCACTCATAGGGCTAGTTAGTGTAATCATATGAAGCTTAAGTGTTGGTTCATGAAATGTGACCATGAACAAAGTCCTAATTGCTAACCTAGGTGTTGCTATATGTTTGTGTGACTCACATCCACCAAGTACATGTGTCCACTCATGATCATATGCATAGACACATGGAGACATGAAATAACGAGAAAAGTTGCATCTGTTTAAGAAACATGCGATAGCAAGCAAACGTTGCAGATGTTTCAATCCAATGTTTCAATTGTAAATGCTTGTTTATGAATGCTTGATGATCATGCTCATGTTATGCAAGTCAAGTTATGCAAGGCTAACACCCGAGGTGTTACACCCTCTCCCTTCCCCTATTTGAAGAAGAGGCGCAGCAGTTGAGGAAAGGCAAAGGATTGGGCGAGAAACTGTCTCCCTTCCCCCATTCAATGCGGATGGGATACGACGGGACGAGCCCTGACCGATAGGACGCACCCTGCCCGACAAGATGGCACCTAGTTAGATAGGACGTGGCCTAGGTATGGCCCACCACAACCACACGCCGGGCGTGAGAAACAAGGCACAACTACGCGTAGGCGGCCCTCCACCTTCCCAGGCGGGACTTGGAAAGGCCTAACTATGGGATCTCCGCCCAGGAGAGACCAACAGGTTTGCTGAGTCGATCAGATGGCTCAAGCGAACACCGAGAGACAGGTAAGGAGCAAAGGGATGCCCCATGTGGGCCATGCCAACTCTGTCATGAACGATGAACACAGATCCCAATCGGACATATCCAATAGGAGCTCCTCAAACCCCGTCACTCGAGTCATCGGGGTAACTCTACCAATCCCCCTTACTTTGTTTGATATTCTAAATACATAAACATTCAATCATCCATTCTCATACACGCATTCACACATTCATCCATGCATGCATTCATTCATTCCATACATCCGAAGCATCGCATATGCAGTTAAATACATCACAACGCTCCGTGTTGCATCACAAAGCGGCAGTTGCCTCATTCAACATGAGCAACGACCGACCGGGGTTCGAAGGCCGGCCCATGAAGGGCTCGAGGCCACCCCATGTCAAACAGAGCCAGGGGAGAAAAACGTAGATGAGCCCCAGTGGCCCTCGCCCAGTCTGCTTTGAAGCAGACAGGGTCATCTCAACCTTCTCGTTCGATCCTAACCTCGAGCCATGCCCACAGAATCTCCATCGAGGGGAGGCCAGTAGGCCACCTGGGTCAGTCTCCGGAACGACCCAGGCATCTGCCGGGACGTGGGTTAAGGAGTAGTCGAATGTCACATGAGGGCTATGCCGACCCCGTCACGAACGATGGACCCGGATTTCACTCGAACATGCCCGTTAGCGAGCTCACCGAGCGCGTCACTCAAGCCATCGAGGAAAGCGACGTTAGCTTAGCCCCTCTGGTTGTGAAAACCGCAGATGGGGTAACGCACCAAACTCAACCGACCCCTACCAAGCCCTATGGGGCTCGGGGGCTCAGGACACCCAAACACCTCGGCACGACCTCGGCTGCGCCCAACACCTGGATCCGTGACTCCGAGTCACCCGATTCCTCGTTGCGCCCAATGCCTGGATCCATGACTCCGACTCGCCCGATCACTCATTATGCCCAGCGCCTGGATTCGCGACTCTGACTCGCCCGATCCCTCATTGCGCCCAGCGCTTGGATTCACGACTCTGACTCGCTCGATCCCACATTGCGCCCAGCGCCTGGATCCACAACTCCAACTCGCCCGATCCCTCATTGCGCCCAGCGCCTGGATCCGTGACTCCAACTCGCCCGATCCCTCATTGCGGCCAGCGCCTGGGTCCGTGACTCCGTCTCACCTGATCCCTCGGTTGCGCCCGATGCCTGGGTTCGTGACTCCATCTCGCCCGATCCCTCGGCTGTCCCTTGGCGCGCCCAACGCCTTGGTTGGCGACTCCAACTCGCTCGATCCCTGGATCTACGACTTCGACTCGCCCGATCTCTGGATCTGCGACTCCGACTTGCCCGAACCCTCGGCGCGCCTGACGCCCTGGTTGACGACTCCGTCTCGCCCAGTCCCTCGGCCACGACCAAAATGCCTAGGACCACGCTCCCAGAAATGATGGGTCAGAAACTAGAAAGAGGAGGCTACGCCCACCAAGGTGCACACACTCATGCCCGCTGACAAAACCTCCCAGGTGATTCTGCTTGAATCACCCGGGGGCTCAGGGGCTACACCCGCGGGTGCGCTTGCACGCACCCGCTATCAAAACAAAAATTCCCCCGCTGGCAACACGAACCCCCCCCAGACAATTCTACCTGATTCGCCAGGGGCTCGGGGGCTACACCTGCGGGTGGGCTCGTGCGCACCCACTGTCAAGACAAAAATCCCCAGACGATTCTACCCGAATTGCCCGGGGGCTCGGGGGCTCCTGTCGGGTTCATAAACCCAGGGTCCCTCAAGGACCTGCTTCCCAGCAAAAGCTCGGCCCAGCAGACGATGTTGCGAACAACGCGCAATTCCTGGGCTAGCCCAAATACCTAATGACATGCTAGAAGGGTGATCCAATCTCCAACTAAAAGGCCTATCCAAGGAGGAACGGCGCTCACTTCCAACATCGGCCCGCCTTTCCGATCGAAGGCCTGGACGAGGAGGAACAACGCTCGCTTCCGACTCCAGCCTGCCTCTCCGACCGAAAGGCCTAGCCAAAGAGGAACAATGCTCGCTTCTGACTCCAACCCGCTTCTCTAACCAGGGATGCACCGAACCTCTGCTTGCAGCTCTTCTCCGACTGGCGCAGTCGGAGCCGACTGGGACCAGCCGACCGGGGACGCCCGCTCGGTGAGGACCCAGGAAATGGACAGAGCAAGTAAGGCAGGATGCTCAAGTCAACCGCAATACCAAGGACCGTACCATGTACACTTGTAGGATAGTACCAACAGGACATGTCAGAAGGGTGCCCTGCAACCTTCTAGGCATGTCAGAACCCAAGTAGTGTTGTGGGCGCCGACGTTTTACCGCTACAGTGTTATGGGCGCTATCAATTCCCATACCAGGCAAACATGGTAAGGCTCCCCCACACGCTTCTAGGCATCAACGGTGTGGGTGCCGTCATTTGCCCTACATGGAGAATAGGTAAAAACCTGCCACATGCCTCTGGACATCAACAGTGTTGTGGGCACCAACAATCACATTGTACCCGATGGCGTGGGCAACAAGACTTAGGCGCATACGTACACTCTCTCTCACACACACTTGTAAGGTCATCCCCTTCATCTATAAAAGGGGATGCGCTCTCTCCCAATAGAGAGGATCGATTGGAGAGGAGACCAAGGACTCTTCAATGATTTGAACAACCAACGATCGATTCACCCTCTGTTAGCTTTAGACACTCTAAAAGCTACACAGAGCATACGCTCGAATACTTAGTGCACGCAGGAGCTCCCGTCACTCTTGGCCCTTCAGCCCGGAGTCCGATTGGACCTCTTGCACCCCCTATCTTACTCCCTTCCGTTTGTAACCCCACAGCAAACTTTGAGCACTTTGGCTCAGGAATAAAGTCACCAACTGACACAAACTTGATGTAGGGCATGTTGCCTGAACCAGTATAAACCCTATGTCATTGAGTGCTATGCCACATCCGATCACAACGTACGGCAAAACTACAAATATTTACGTGTTGGTCACTTTCTGCACCGATACCATATTTGGTAAGGAGGCAGGCAATCTAGACAGCGAGCGCTAGGCGTGGCCCTCCACGGGAGAGATGTAGAGGGAGGGAGATGGGTGACCAGGTTGTGGCGGTGGGGATCCCGCACTAGATCTCCATTGTCGATGGCGCCCTAGCGTCCACCCATGTCCCAGCAAGTGGCCGGTAGATCCAAGGAGGCTGGTCTGCCCCGTGCCTCCATGGTGGCCACCACCGTCCCCTCGGCGAGGTCAAGGAGCGTTCGGGATCTATTGAGGTTCCGTCTCTTTCTCTCCCACGGTAATGGTGATTTTGTCCTACTTACTCTCTCCCTCGATTTCTCGATTTGATCCCTCACTAGAGCAGTAGTAGCAGCTAGTCGAGAGGTCGGCAGCATGGTGCAGTAGCATTAGGTTGAGAGGTTGATCCTTTCTGCAGCCCCAAATCCAGGTCATTCCCCTCCATCAATAGAGTTTCACTAAACTTATGCACAAGATCTCCTCGTACTGTCTACTGAATCTATCTAATGAATGAAAGTGGCTGCCTAATAGGGTGTGGATAAAATTTTATAATTGAACTGGGGTTACATATTGCTATCAGCTAGGAAGTGCCAACAAGTAAATAACGCCATGATTGGTCTTCTTGGTAGAAACTATACTGCTCGTGTGTATTTGGGTTACAGCTAGTTCGAAAAGCTGGAAGAGTCTTCACTATCTGTAAAAGAATTTCTGGGAACCGCCCCTACAAATGCATGATTTGTAAGGGTAGTCTAGGAACCACCCTCATAAATGCATGATTTGTAAAGACGGTATGGTAGGGACGGCTGGTCGAGCCGCCTCTACAAAGCCTCACCAGCCACCCCTACAAATGATATGTGTAGTAGTGTTCCTCATAGGGTCAGTCCTCATGGGACTCTTGCCTAACTTCGGTACGCTCCTAGCAGGATGATGCGTGGTTGGCGTCGACGTCGGAGACACGCTCATGATCGCACCCATCTATGTGGCTGAGATTTTGTCCGCCCAGATCCGCAGCTCCGTCACGTCGCTGCCCGAGATCTGCATCAGCTTCAGCATCCTGATTCGGTACATGGCCAACTACCTGCTAGCCAAGTTGCCGCTGGTCTATGGCTGGCACACCATGCTAGGGCTCGGCGCGCTGCCGAGCGCCATGCTCACAGTCAGCGTGCTAGCGATGCCGGAGTCGCCCTGGTGGCTCATCATGTAGGGCCGCGTTGAGCAGGCCCTCGCCGTGCTCAGGCGCATGTCCGACACCGCGGGCAAGGCCGATGTGCGGCTCGTGGAGATCAAGACTGTGGCGGGGCTGGTGGCAGATGACGCCACCGAAGCCGAAGGCGCACCCCGCCAAACGAGATGTGTCGTCGGCAATGGCGTGTGGAAGGAGATGTTCCTGCACCCGACGCCACCCATCCGGCGTATCCTCGTCGCGGCCTTCGGAGTACACTTCTTCCAGCACCTCATGGGAATCGAGGCCGTGGTCCTCTACATCCCTCGCATCTTTAAGGAAGCCGGCATCGCCACCCGCAGCGACATCCTTGCAGCGACCGTCGGCGTGGGCGTCACCAAGACGGTGTTCATCACGACAACCATCCTGCTAGTCGACCGCATTGAGCGAAGGCCGCTCTACCTCTCGAGCCTGGCGGGCATCATCGCCTCGGTTCCCTATCTCGGTCTTGGCCTCACCATCGTGGAGCGCTTGGCACCGCGCTACTCGTCGACGTGGGCTATGGTGCTGTCCATCGCAATGGTGTTCACCTTCATAGCGTCCTTCTCCGTCGGCGTGGGGCCCATCACGTGGGCCTACAGCTCGGAGGTGTACCCGCTCTGGCTACGCGCGCAGGGCGCCAGCGTCGACGTGGCCATCAACCACGTCATGAACGTCGACGTCTCTATGACGTTCGTGTCGCTGTACAAGGCGGTGACCATCGGCGGTGCCTTCTTCCTGTTCGCGGGGCGGGCCGTGCTGGCGGCCATGTTCTTCTACTTCCTCTGCCTGCAGACGCAGGGCCGGCCACTGGAGGAGATCGAGGAGGTGTTTAGCCGTGGGTGGCGCACGCGGCTCCCATCATCGGAGGCAGTTGTCGTGGAGCGGTGTCCAACGTCACCGATGATAACGGCAAAGCGCGGCCGTGATGCGATAGCAACAAATATGGATGAATCATATATTCGTGCTACATGTGTTTGTATCTGTCAACATTTCTCAATTAGGAGGAAATATTAGCGTAGCATCTTAAATAGTTCCAAAATAATAATTGGTAAATCAACTAGCTTTCTAAGTGGCTAAAAAAAGAATATTGAGAGCATATTTATTGGGTTACTTCAACGGTTTCTAAAATCTCGCTCCTAAAGTATAAAAAACAATTAAGTAATGCTATTTATCTATTGCCTGATTTTGTGGCATTGGATCTATCAAATTGTGGGATGTTAGAGATTCCTTAAGATTCGTGCGAAGTTTTTGGGTGCAGACTCCCCTAGCGGATCCTAAAGCTAGCATCTGTCCTGTTCGCTTAGCTGATAAACCATAACTAAAAATACTATTAGCTAATTTATTATTAAAGAAAAATAATGTTCGTTCACTTATAAAATAGGGCTTATAAGTAGCGATCACGTGACACCCGATAACCTATTTTATCAAAATCCGAGCCCATCGATTTTTTTTTTTAGTCTTATCCTGTGCCGCCTCCTATTTTCCCCAATCGGACGGCCTGTTCGTCTTCGCCGCGGTGTGCGTGGCGCGGTGGGCGGCCTGCGCTTGCTGCCTCTTACCCTCTGCCGCAGCCAGCCGAGGATCCGCCGCGGTCGTGCGGGCGGTGGGCGGCCTGCGAGCTTTTGGCGTCCGCTTCAGCTGTGGCGACGGTTAGAGGAGCATCTCCGCCAGAGGTTTTCCCTGTGCTCAGGAAGTTGGGCACCCTGGCTTCCCCTCGCGCGTGCCGACAGTTCCAGCGAGCTCAAGGCCTACGCGTTGTTCGCTGACTGGAGCAGTCCAAGTTTGTAAGTGTCGTGTTGTTGATTTGTTTTTTTTATCGCTCCTGTTGTTGTATTTTTCATGATGAGATCTGGCATTGTGTGTGGATTTGCGTTGTGTGCCGTCGCTTCTTCGCGGCCGCGGCAGACGACGAGCGAGCGGGCGCTGATTGGAGCGGTGTTTGTTACGGATGTTGGGATTGTGTCAGGCGAGGTCAAGGTGGGGTGATGCGGGGATGATTCAGTCCCCTTGTTCTCGAGGTTGGTGGAGGCTCAGGTGCCTGGTGATCTTGCAGCCTTGGGGAAGCAAATCAAGCAGCCAGTGAGGGAGGGAGGGAAGGAGAGAGAGGAACCTGGCATTCCAATGTTCTTCTGCATTTCTCTATTTCTAGTTTGTCTGAATTGCCCAGTGCAGCTGAATGGCTAATTGTAGCTATGGTCTACTGATATGATAGCTATTTTCTTGCTTTTATAGGCATTGGGTAGTAGACTTGTGATTGAATTTGCAACGTGATTCAGCCTGGAGCTGTGTAGTTTGATAACTGAATCCATATTGTGCTTTCTTCCCTGCAGTGGCATCATAGTTAGCTCATAGTCTATCCTGATGAATTTGTCGTTTGTCAGGCCTTGTTATTGCTGCCAGTTTTATGTTCTAAAATTGATGCATATGTTGTGCCAGAACAGTTGGTAAATAGCATTTTTGTTAGCTGTCATGTAACTTAAATGTGTGGACAAGTTATTTTGCCTTTCGGCATTGTAAGCTTTTCAAGGTTTATTTAGGTCTGATTCCTCCAGCTTGTAGAAGATGATAGTGTATTTGTGAAGATGTAGTTCTGTTTTTCAGGATACGTGTTGCTTCTCTTTGACTTTTCTGAGTCTAGTATATAGAGGATATTATTGATCATTCCAAGATAACCTGGATGTGTAGTATATTAACTGAATTCAGATTTACGACAATGCTTAACTGGGAATAGGAACCTGCTAATTGTTAGCTTTGTTATGAATGATGAGCTGCTTGGCTGTGAGGTTGGCAATTATCTTGCTCATGCCTAATTGTAAGAAGTACAAGGAAGGTCTGTGTCATGACTTCTTTTAGGGACTTAGTTTGCTACTTACAGTGAACTCTATAGTTTTGTTTGCACAACATGTTTGCCACTAAAATTGCTAATCAACTACACCACTGTAGCATTAGCATATGTATGTGTTTTCCTGGGTGATCGTTAAAAGCCATCTGAAATTCATTATCTGATTACAACTAGTTTCCTGTCTTTTATTATGATATAATGCGCAACCCTTTTACTTATACTTGGAATGCTCACTCTTTTTTTCAGAAGTTATTTTTTAAGTTAAGTTTGTTTCCTGTTTGCTGTTTTTTTGTGAATTGCACTTCTTTCCTTTATGCTATAATGCCTCATGTTTCAAGTGGTTATATCCTGAATTGAGCTTGTTTCCTGTGTACTGTCTATTATTTTTGGTTCCGAATTATTTAGCTGTCTATTTTTGTGATTATGTCTATCATGCAACAATATTAGCCTGGTTCCACCAAACTTTCCAAATTAGTATTAGACCTATGATAGGTATACACCAAAAATACTAATTTCAAGAGGAGAAACTTTTTCTTGCTTGGTACAGTGACTACTGAATTTATGTTTGTTTACATGCGGATCTTTTATTTGTTTGTACAGGTAGCCCTACTACTCATTGGGCATTAGTTGCCCTTGGAGCAGGTGTCGGGATAGGGGCTGCATATACTGAATGCTCATACTTATTGAACGGTGCTCCTCCAATGTGGTCACCCAAAGTCTCAACTATTCTAGGTGACGAGGCTCAAGTGGATGCTCGTTTCAGTCCGTTCGGAGGCAGTGCTAATCTTGACGCAAGATAGGAGCACGGTTTGCATCGAACGTACAACAAGCTCGGAAATCATTTTGGACAGGAACTCTTAGGTGACGTGGGTCATGTGGAATCTTGTTTCGGTTCGTTTGAAGACAATATTAGTGTCGGTGCATGGTTTGTACCAAACGTACCATAAGCTTATAAATCGTTTTGGACACACCCGATGGTACTCCTAGGTGACGAGGCTCAAGTGGAAGCTTGTTTCGGTCCGTTTCGAGATAGTGCTAAGCTTGACACAATATAGGTGCACGGTTTACGCTGAACGTACCGTAGGCTCAGAAATCATTTTGGACGCATTTGATGAAACTCCTAGGTGACGTGGGTCATGGGGAATCTCGTTTTAGTTCATTTGGAGACAGTGTTAGTGTCGGTTTAAGATAGGTGTATGGTTTACGTCAAACGTACAATAGGATCAGGAACGTTTTGGACGCACCTGATGGTACTCCTATGTGACGAGGCTCAAGTGGAAGCTCGAATCGGTCCATTTGAAGATAGTGTTAATCTTGACATAAGATAGGTGCATGGTTTGCACTAAACATACCATACGCTCGGAAATTAATTTGGACGCACCCGATGAAATTTCTCGATGACGTGGGTCTTGTGGAATCTCGTTTTGGTCCGTTTGAAGATCATGTTAGTGTCGGTGCAAAGATAGATGCACGGTTTGCGTCAAACATACTATAGGCTCACAAATCATTTTTGATAACGCACCCGATGATACTCCTAGGTGACGAGACTCAATTAGATGCTCGTTTCGGTCCGTTTGGAGTTAGTGCTAATTGTGACACAAGATAGGTGTACGGTTTGCGTCGAACATACCACAGGCTCAGAAATCGATTTGAACACACCCGATGGAACTCCGAGATGATGTGGATCATGAGGAATCTCGTTTTGGTTCGTTTGGAGACAACATTAGTGTCGGTACAAGATAGGTGTATGATTTGCGTCAAATGTAACATAGGTTAAGAAATCATTTTGGACACTTCCGATGGTACTCTAGGCGACGAGGCTCAAGTGGAAGCTTGTTGTGTTCAGTTTTGATACCGTGCTAATCTTGACATAAAATAGGTGCATGATTTACGCCGAACGTATCACAGGCTCAGAAATCGTTTTGGACGCACCCGATGGAACTCCTAGGTGACATGGGTCATATGGAATCTCGTTTTGATCTATTTGGTGACAATGTTTGTGTCGGTTCAAGATAGGTTTATGGTTTACGCCAAACGTACAATAGGGTCAGGGATGTTTTGGACTCTCTTGATGGTACTCCTATGTGACGAGTCTCAAGTGAAAGCTCGATTCGGTCCATTTGAAGATAGTGTTAATCTTGACATAAGATAGGTGCACGTTTTGCACCGAACGTACCATAGGTTCAAAAATCATTTTGGATGCACCCGATGGAATTCCTAGGTGATGTGGATCTTGTGGAATCTAGTTTTGGTCCGTTTAGAGATAATATTAGTGTCGGTGTAAGATAAATGCACGGTTTACGTCAAACATATCATAGGTTCACAAATCGTTTTTTAAAACGCACCTGATGGTACTCCTAGGTGACGAGGCTCAAGTGGATGCTCGTTTCGGTTCGTTTGGAGATAGTGCTAATCTTGACACAAGATAGGTGTACGGTTTGCGTCGAACGTACCACAGGCTTGGAAATCGGTTTGGACACACCAGATAGAACTCCGAGGTGACGTGGGTCATGAGGAATCTCGCTTTGGTCAGTTTGGAGACAACATTAGTGTCAGTGCAAGATAGGTGCATGGTTTGCGCCAAACGTACCATAAGCTAAGAAATTATTTTGGACACTTTCGATGGTACTCCTAGGTGACGAAGCTCAAGTGGAAGCTCGTTTTAGTTCGTTTCGGAATAACACTAATCTTGACGCAAGATAGGTGGACGATTTGCGCCAAACGTACCATAGGCTCAAAAATCAATTTGGATGTACCCGATGGAACTCCTATGTGACGTGGGTCTTGTGGAATCTCGTTTCGGTCCGTTTGGAGACAGTATTAGTGTCGTTGCAAGATAGGTGCACGGTTTACGCCAAAAATACCATACGCTCAGAAATCATTTTGGATGTACCCGATGAAACTCTCATGTGACGTGGGTCGTGTGGAATCTCATTTCGGTCCGTTTGGAGATAGTGTTTGTGTCGGTGAAAGATAGGTGCACGGTTCGCGCCAAACGTACCACAAGCTTAGAAATCGTTTTAGACACACCCAATGGTACTCCTACGTGATGAGGCTTAAGTGGATGCTCATTTTTGTCTGTTTGGAGACAGTGCTAATCTTTATTCAAGATAGATGCACGGTTTGCACCAAACATACCACAGGCTCAGAAAACAGTTTGGACACGCCTAAT